TGTGTGTGTGTATAATATATGTATATTATATGAGAAAACGGGAGGTGAGCTGGCAGCGTAGGAAAATTCCTATGCTGCTGCCACGTGTCAACTTTTAATTCGGTCATCACACATTAGCATTAATTACTAAAATAACAATTAATATTCGGTATTAATTTGAAATTTAAATAGAACAAAGACTTAGATGCAAAAAATCCAACCCATTCCTTCCCAAAAAACGCCGCTGATTTCTCATCTTCCCCAAACAACCACGCTCTCTTGCCATCTAGGTTTCTCTGGTCTAGGGTTCTTTTCATCTAAGTCCTTGTTCTATTTAAATTTTAAATTAATACCGAATATTAATTGTTATTTTAGTATTTATTTCAAATGTGTGAAAAACGAATTAAAAGTTGACACGTGGCAGCAGCGTAGGAATTTTCCTGCGCTGCCAGCTCACCTCCCATTTTCTCATATTATATATATATATATATGAGTAAAACTTGTGTCAACTTAAGTGGACGTCCACTAAGTTTCTTACCCATTGATGATCACTTGATTGAGCTGCTTTGTGGATGATCCGCTCCGTTGAACTTGATCTACATATTCTAAAACCCCAACACACCAAATTTGGGTTGAATCCGTCATGGTTTGACCCTCCGTCGAGCCATGTAAAAAGTTCTATTCATTTGAAACCATTAAAATTGATACGAGTGGATGAAGGGTCAAACCATGACGGATTCAACCCAAATTTGGTGTGTTGGGGGTTTTAGAATATGTAGATCAAGTTCAACGGAGCGGATCATCCACAAATGTCCCAAAATCCTGTCGTGCACCAAGGACCCGTCCCCGAAGCCCCGACCGTGCGCCCGGCCCTGAGGCCCGCCCGGAAATAGTGTTTTTTATTTTTAATATGTTAATTATATATTAATATATATATATATATATATATATTATATATATATATATATAGTATATATTATATATATATAAGAGAGAGATATAACACTGTATACTTACTATATACTATAATACAATTATACTATATACTTAATATAAGAGAGTATAGTCATAATATATAATATAATACTAATATATATAATAATATATATATACTAAATATATATATATATAATATATATAATATAATCATATATACTATATATAGAGGAGAGAGAGAGCAGCAGAGAGAGCAGAGATTAATGGGTAATCGTATTCATAGGAAGGGGATTTCCTCCTCTGACGCGCCATCTAAAATATCACATGATTTGAGGGACATTATGGCATTGATCCCGCCTCCTTGAACTTTCCTATTCATTTCCATCCAACGGTAATATGCTTATTTCAAAATTCAAATCTAATCTACAATTTTTTTTTTACTTTTTGTTTGTTTCAGTTCTATGTCAATTAAGTATGGGTATTTCAAAATCTACTATTCACATGGGCTTTCCAAAAATTTTGTCCATTTTTGTTAATTTCAACTCCATGAAAATGAAATATTCGTACAAAATTTGAAATTGAATTTTGTTCATTTTTGATCCAATGACAATTAAAAATTAGAGATTTTCCTGGACTATAGATTTTGATTTTTTTTTATTTTCATTTGTTTCAACCGACAAATATTAATATGTGCTATACCCCGAATTACTAAGTTAAACATAGCCCTTAAGTTGACCACATGTTAAACTAGCAGGCGGGGTCATGTGGCGAACAGACCTAATGTTGATGTCAGTTATCAAACAAGGGGTTATCCTAGAGTTTGTGGAGTGATTAGGGTCCTCTAACTCCTTCTGATGAGTGGTTCTTGGGTTTGCTGTTCTTTCGTGCACAAGAAGGAACTCATAAGAGGGCGGTGTTGAGTTCTCCGGTTGTTCCTTCGACGATCAAGTCAATATGTTATCTTGAGTGGGGAAATATAGAGTTAGCTCTTAGTTATGTTAAAAAAGCCAGAGAGAGTTACCTCATGTAGTGCCTCTCCTTTTTATAATGGGTTTGAGGGGCAAGAAGGTAACTTGAGTCGAGTCCAGCTAGGCAGTTGAGTCAACAGACATGTGCCAGGTGTTGGTTGCTGAAGGAAGTGAGTCACCTGGTCATTTATTGTGGAAATGAGAGTAGGTGCTTGGTGATGACTGTGTCCGATGAGTCATAAAGACTATGGAGGCTAGGGTAATGATGATGTTGTTAGGGCAATTAATGCGAGAGTAGTCGGCTAGCGAGGGGTTCGAGGTAACTGTCATCTTTCGAGTCCTCAAGTCTAGCTCTGAGAAGTACCGCCTTTTGACTCGGTTACACGAGATGTTGATTGAATCGTCATATCGCTAGTGTTCAATTTGAGAGGTTGGCCAAGTACTACTGCCTTTTGACTCGGATACGCGAGATATTGGCCAATCAAGCTAGCCGTGCCAAGTTGAATGTTATCCTGGTTGTGTGGTGCTTTGGTTAGGCAGAGTGTAAGACACGTGTCAACTTCTCTGTGGTGATTTATATTTATCATTTTTAGGGTTATAACATGTATATATGAATGAATGTGTTAGAAGGCATTTCGGGAAGAAATATTTTGACATGACAACCCACTTTTGTAATCTTTTACTAGGAAATACATTAAAGCAAAACTAAAAATTTAAGAACTCACCAGAGGATGGCCGTATTTTGTCGACCTGTCAACAACTACATAGGTGACTGTGTTTTCATAACTTGGTTAGGCACTGGGAGAGGCAGCAACAAATCCAACGCTGGCATATGTTGTGGGTCTTCAACAACTCCTTCACACTGTCTTACATTCCAACCCGCCAAACATATGTTGTGGTGTTGAATGATACTCTTTGATTATCTGAGCACAAGGATGATTTGGAATTGACCATGGGTTTACCTCGGGGTGCTAAATGGGTGGGTTTAGGTAATAAATGGGTAGGCCATAGATGGACAGACATGCTTTGCCAATTGCCCATTTATAGCACATTTAACAACATATTCCAAATGGGTGGGTTTTGCCCGCCGATTTAATAAATGGACCACCCGTTTGCCCATTTAACTATAATAGTTATGTACATAATACTTTAAGAGATTTTTTGCAAACTTCTAAGGGCATTTCTAAACTTTTAGGGGTTTTGCAAGCTTTTGGGGGATTTTTCAGACTTTTTTGGGTTTTTTCCAAACTTTTGGGGGGTTATTTGTGAACTTTTAGGGAGTTTTTACAATTTTTTGAGAGGTTTTTTGCAAACTTTTCTAGGGCCCTTTTGCACAATAGAATCCTTCGAGAATTAGAACTAGAAATAGAATTCTTATTCAACAAAAAAAGAGTCGTAAAAATTCTGTTAGCAAACATAAAGATGATACAATACATAATATATCAGGCTTGTGTAACATATATATTTACATTAAGGAACAAAAATGTAAATCTTCCTAACAACAATATATCACCTGAGAACATAATACTAAATCACATTGATAGGAACTTTGCATACTGTTGCTTGATTTAAGTTCATAAATAGCTTCAACCAACTTTGCTTCCAAATACAAAAGATGTTGTCATAGTGCTAATAGATTGTGCCACATTTGCAAGTCATATACCTAAAAAAAGTTTAAAATAAAAATACATATATACACATATCTATATATTCTTTTCCAAGAGCTTGTATCTACCGAGCATGAGAGAGCAACCATCTCAAGTAGTTGGCTCCATCACTGATATCATAACCTTGACTAAGTGGAGCAACTCTCTTTCGCATAAGCATTTCGACTGATAAATCCTTTCTTTTTTCGTTCACCTTGCTCATCAGCTTCCACAAAGTCACCATGCAAAAAAATAATAATAATCAACTTAACCCAATCTGTTTTAGGAAAACAGAGTTTAACCCGAAGGAATATTACTAGCATTGCGCATAGGGTCCGTTTGTTTTGATTTTTTTGAAGAGGAAAGCCTGCCGGTGACAGTTTTGGCAGGCTTTCACACCACTTTCCTCTTCAAAAAAATCAAAACAAACAGGCCCATAATCTCAGTAACTTGAAACTACACGATTACCTTAGAGATCGAAAAAACTTTTTGGCTCGCGGTTGGACCGCGAGCCAAATAGCGGGGTTCCCTTAGAGATGTATAACGTTTGCGCTACTTTCAAGTTCAATGTTCATGCTAATTGGGACATAAGTCAGATATTTCATGCTTATTGGAAACTACGCAACATTTAGCCAAAAGTGACAACATGAGTCCAGGACAAAATATGCATTTTTTTCGGGGAGAACTTGGCCATGCCTATGTATTAGGTGTATGTATGTCACCTGGGCTTCTACATCATAGCTTCAAACATTTGTATGTTTCCCTGGGGGCTTCTCGTCATCTTCTAATCTTTTTCTCATCTTTTAATCTCTATTACACAATTCATTTTCCCATATTCTTCATGTATATCATCCTACTATGTTTATTTTGAATGATTCTGTTTAATTTTTAATTCATTTTCCCATATTCTTCACGTATATCATCCTACTATGTTATGCATGTCCAAAATCCTTTCCTAAAAAACCTACGATCTTTAGTAAACAGAATCAAAAATTAAAATATATTTAAAATTCAGGAATCACCATACTCTGCTCCTCTATCTACAATTCTAAAATCGAAAAAGGCACAACTATTCACAAAAGAATCTAAAAAAAATGAAGAAAGGTTTATGCTCATAACTCAACACGAAGTACACAAGAATCACAAAAATTAGGGGCCTAAATAATTATTAAAAAAAACTTACCTCCAGAAATAACCTTAGCAATTACAACTCAATCAATCAATAACTTGAGGATTAAGGAATAAAATTTAAAGAAAATAGAAAGAAAATCTATTTCATAATCATAAGAAAAAGAGAAACTTTAGGGCTTTGAGTTCAAAAGAAGGGGATATACCTGGTTGCAAGAAGTTGCAATCTTCTTCCTCTTGTTCCACCAAGTTTTGGATTGTCCAAAAATTGGAAAAGGCTTGAATGAAATTAGGAAAATCAGCAAGGATTGGAGATCTTCGTTCGCGAGAGACTGAGATCTTCGTTCGCGAGAGAACATGAAATCTGCACATTAAGACTATTTAATTAAACAGGCATGAGTACAAAGCAGGGCTGCCCCAACGGTCGAAACCGTTGGGGTAAATCAGGACCCCAACGGTTAGAACCGTTGGGCTAAAAAATTGACCGTTAGGGAAAATTGCGTTGGGACTGACCCAACCCCAACGGCTGCCAAGTTTGCCCCAACGGTTCCAACCGTTGAGGCCTTTATATAAATCAAAAAAAAAAAAAATCAGCCAAAAATATGGGAAAGCTGTTGCACACATAAAAATTAGCATATTAATTAACAATATGACTGATGAAAAACCACATATTATAAAAAATATCGCAAGTGAATTTTTTTATTATCATATTGGAAATATGATCCCGCTAAAGGTACCAATATGGTAATTATGCCTATAATCCTCCAACAAATGAAATAAATATTACATTAAAAAAACAAATCCAAATACAACAAAACTAATTTCAACATTCTCCATTTAACAAAACTAATATTTTCCAAATAGGCATCCTCATTTCTTTTACAATATTCCCTCTGCCTGGTATTCTACAAAACATTGAGCAAATTGCTTGAAGATTAAAAACTATACACAAAGCCCAAATGAGAGCTTATCTATACCCACTAAAACTAAACAAAACTCTGAAGGTTAACAATCATAACTGTTATATCATCTCTGTTACCTCTTCTACAAGACATTTCAACAAGATCTTTACATGACTTCATAAACTCTCGATTCTTCAATACAACATTCACTGCCTCTTCATCACTAACCTGCACAATTCAATCATATATGACTTTCTTTTTCTCAGAGTTGCCGCATCGAGAAATATATCAGTATGAGTTGAGAAATATATGATCAGTATCACAGTTCTATGTAGGTACCTTATCCCAGAGGCCATCAGAAGCCAATACCAGAAACTCGCAGTCTGAGAGTTAAGTTTAGTGATGTTGTTTCAGGTTCAGAAATGATCCATTCTTTTAAATTTGCATCGCCGATTGATCTTGATATCGCCAATGAGTCCTGAACTCTCCACGTTCCATTTCTGCAACTCACATATCCCCCCTGTGATGATACCAGATAAAAAAGTATTAATTAATGAGTCCAAACGTATTTAACCATATATGTTCATCCAATATGGGACCAAAAATTGGACGAGGGAGCTTACCAAGCTCTCAATGCGATTTCTTTCATTTTCTGTTCCCGGATTGTGGCTGACTGTTAGGGTTTTAGCTTCTTTGTTTCTGCTCATCACTACTTTGCAATCGCCTACATTCGCGATATGAAGCTCTCCATCCTTGAGTAGAATAGTAGCGGCGCAAGCTCCACTATTAAGACCCTATTAAAGAGAAAAGAATGATTTTCAGTGAATAATTAGTTGTGAAGTAATGGTTTTACGTGAATAATAAATATGTTGAGGTAACGGTCGTAAATTGATAGTGTGTGTTCCATTATCCTATGTGCTATGGAGGACTTATTTATTCATTCATTTTTTTATTTTTATTCACTTTTCAGTACATTTTTCTTTTTTACTTTCATATTGAGACGGCCTTAATCAATACAACAGTTCAAACTATCAATCAAGACCAAATCAAAATGGCACAGGAAATCTGTGTAATTAATTTGATACGTCCTAATGTTAGGTACATATCGTCGGTAGTTGGCTCAAATACCTGGCTAAGGAATTCTCTATCTGTAGTCAGATATCCTGATCTCATTGCCATTTCTAACTTGCCTTCTCCTTCTTCAAGCCTGTCGAGAGCTCTTATTATAGTTTCCCCTAACTTCTCAGAGACAAAGTCTACAGCTGCTCGGCCTCCATGCCCATCAAATTCTCCGAAAAAAGACTGAAAATGATCGATATACAACTCAAATCATCAGTCATATTGTTAATTAATGTGCTAATGCGTGACAAATAAGGTCTCTATTTATGATGAAAAAGAGCGTCAACTGCAAGGGTCCAAGACAATGTAGTCTTCATCCACATCTACGAGGATATATTTTATCACCATATAAAAACTAAACTTTTATCAAACTTGCGAAGAGAAAGGATCAGGGTTATTGTTCCAAGACTCCAGATCTAATCAAGCCCATCTTAAAACAATTATTTATCAACAGATTCAACAAATTGTTGTTGATGAACTACGTATTTAAAGCGGATCCTTCCCAGATCCAATCAAAGAATCATCAAGAACTAGGGAAAAATTGACCTAATATCAATTATCGAGATAGACCGGATAAATCTAATTAGTTATCCTAAAATAATCGACCAAGTCAACAAAATCAGACCCTAGCCAAAAAATTGCAGCAGGTCCAAGATCCAATTGATGAATCATCAAGAACCACCAAAATCCAAGATCATAAATTTTCAAAGAAACAGATTTTAAAAATTACCTGAGGCTGGACGTCCCATCGTGTCTAACTCACCTAGGTAATGATGTGTGTTGTCTCTCAGGTTTCTTGCTAGCTCCATGTACCTCATCTAAAACTTTGGTCATTGCGGCAAACTTGGGTTCTTGGTTGACGAGCACCTGTTTATCTATACTTGTGCCACATATAAACAAAACACAAGACACACATAAGATACTTATAAAAAAAGCAATAGGAAAAATTGCAGCCTAGAAAAACTAACAATCAATCCACTAGCACTAATCTAACACAATTGAAAGGGGAAAAAAATTAGTTGAGGCCAATTTCCTTGTTTCTGGTGGACAACCAAGCACATTTCTAGCAATTGTTAACTCATTCACACAACAACAACAAAACCTTGGAGTATTGCCGCTCAAACTCTACTACATCCTAGGCAGGTTTCCATCTACAAATAGGAAGTCCAAAGTAGCAGAAAAGAAGATTTTGGCAAGCAGTCCTGCCTCCCTTCATGTCTATGAATCAGTGCACATGTTGTAATGTTTGGCGGTTCCTGCATTGTCTTTTAAGTGTAGTGTAAGAGAAAATTTTAGCTGTAGTTGACCTGACTCTATTTTGATGGTGTTGCAAAACAATTTCTCCGGGTGATATACGAAACAATTTGGTGATTTCAGCAAAACAAGTTTTGAGCATAATAAAAGTAAAGGGCAGCTAAGTAGAACACGAACAGACAAAGGGAAAGAACATGCAATCCAAACAAACAGTAAGTTCTAATTTATTTAAGTTTGTTTTCTTCGGGGTGGAAGGGTAGAGTGCATGTATGAGAGGGTTCAAAGGGGGTGAATTGGTTACTGCTAATGCGGAGATCGGAGGGTTTTTCTTCTCTTGGTATGACAGTTGGGCTTTAACATGAAGTCAACCCAATTCAGACTCAAATTTCACGGATCATATATTTAAATGAGTTAAATAATAACATTGTGTAAGTTCAGATATATTTCGGTCCAAAATGCTCGAAACCTATGAGACATGTATTATAAAATTATAACATTCAGCCCTTGTCATAACTTCGTAGTTTTAGCCTCACAACTTTAAAGTTTTAGCCAAGTATAAATAACTTTCATCGCCTGTAGTTTTTTATAAATTGAGTTTTGGAAAATAAATTTTAAAAATAAAAAAATCATCAAAGTAAAGTATATAGAGAGAGATCTCACTTGAACAATACAATCATGGTAATGAAGCCTTGAGCAGGGCAGCCGGCATCGTCGGATCCAACCTAGCAGCCTCCTTAACGACTGACCTCACGATGAGCTCAGCTCTTGGGCATGTAAGGGCAAGTGCAGCAAGCTCCCACCCCACCTCCTAAGGCTGAGGTGGTGGTGGGAGCTTGCTGGACTTGCTCCAGCAAGCTCCTAAGGGAGCTCTGAGAGCTTCCGTGGCACAAAGCCTAGGGCTTTGTGCCACGGAGCTCCCAAGCGCTCCACAAATTTGTGGAGCGTTTGGGAGCTCCCAAGCTATTAAAAAAAAAATTTAACAAAAAACTCCTTGCTTTTGTACCTTTGCAATAGAAGGGTTTTTTGATAGAAGAGGGGTTTTTTTGATAGGTTTTTTGATAGAAGAAGGGTTTTTGATATTGTTGGAGCTCCTAACTAGGAGCTTGTTGGAGCTCCATAAAAGAAGAAGTGCCTCTCAAGGCTTAATTTGTTAATTTTTTATTCTAAAATGCTTGAGAGCTCTTGAGAGCTTGCTGACTAGGACTCCCAACTGGGAGCTTGCTGCACTTGCTCTAAACGAGTAGAAACCCACATCAAGAAAACCAAGGGAAGTCCCCAGCAAGATTATGAGAAATGAAGAACCGAAGGAAAGAAGAAGGGAGATGAGAAATGAAACGAAACGAAACGAAATAAAACCTTGTGAGTCTTTTCGTCGAGTTGAGGGAGTTCGATCTCGGGGGCGGTGGCAGGGTAGGTGACGGGGATGTCGAACTGGAGGCTGAATTCGTAGCGGCGGAGGTTGTGGAACAATTAGGGTTTTTTGAGGGAGAACCGACGGCTAACTGCAAGATTGACAAGCCCTGACGGCGGCGGTGACCTTCGACAGAGGCGGCGACCTCTGGCGGCGGCGGCGAGGTCTGATTTGGGAAGGATTGGGTTTGGGGTTTTGATGAGAGAGAGAGATAATAGAGAGAACGGGGTCTTCCCTCTTTTTTTTTGGGTAAAAATAGATGGGGGGGAATTTTCGTGAGCTACATGGCCTTGCCCCAACGGTTTGAACCGTTGGGGCTGATAAAAATTGCCCCAACGGTTCAATCCACCTTCTTGATGTGGGTCTTGGGCGGGCAAATAAGCAGGTGGGAGGGGTGGGCAATTGGGTATGGGCTTAGATTGCCATCTTTAGCGTTTACTCTTGTGTAGCCATTAAGTTTCCTTTGTTAAGCTTCTCATGCGAGTCAGTGAACTATGGATCACTAGCAGTAGCATCTTTGATTTGATCCAACCATTTGAGAATCATGATAGTGATCCCCTTGCAGCCCACTTCCCTTTCGTCCTTCCTTGATAGAACATCAGCGACGCTACTATCGACCCCATTTTTGTACTCGATTTTGTAATCATCCTTTAGTTTCTAGAGCCAATTGTTTTGGGTGCCCGTTTTTAAATAGAGTTTAATTATTATTGTTTTATATCTTGTATAATGGCGCCTAAAATAAATCTTGTATAATGGTTATTCTTTGTAACAATACATGTTTATTTATTTCCTTTCAAAGTTATTTTCTTGTTATTTGTATAATTTCTTGTTAATTTTAGATCTAGGTTCTTTTCTTTGTAGTAGGTTTATTTTGTTTTTTTTATTTATTGCAATGTTTTTTTCTTTGTAGACCCCATGTCCGAGCTATTATTGATGCGATGACAAGGTTTTAAATATCGGATGTTGGGTTCATGTCGGACGGCTGAAATCCATGTCGGATAGCGAAAATCAGGGATATATCGGGGGACATGGACTAAATATCGGATTACCATATTGGGTGGTGCGCATATATATAATATCATGTCCTAAATGTAATCTAACTATCTAAGCATTCCTCAATTCAATATAAGCATATTTTATAAATTCTAGAGGCGACGCCGACGATGGGTGGATTCCGACGTCGTAGGGAGGTAGTGTCGACGACAGAACGTCGCATGGGCAGTGCCGAGACTCTTCTTTTTCTTCTTCATCTGCTCAGGGTCCTTCGGACGAGTCACCGACCACCCTCTTTCATTTATCCAGACGACAAGATACCCTCCGCCCTCGGGTTCGGTTGGGGTTCGTATTTTGGAGCGTAACGGGAGATGGACGGCGAGGGGCCGAGATGAAGGTGGGGGAAGGGCGTCATAGTTCACGAAAGGAGTGATCGGTTCTTAAGTCCGTTGCAGCCCTAAATTTTCTCTTTTCTTTCTATCGGGTTCATAAGAAACTCTTAAACATGAGAACGAGTCAAACGGGTTTGGGTTTTTATCACTAAACCTCAAACCCGATAACAAAAAACTGATCTAAAACAAATGGTCATATCGGTCGATTTTTCAAAACTAAAAAATTGGCCGATATGGCCCTGATATTTCTGATTTGGCCCTGAAAACCGATATACGAGTTGAAAACACTCATGTCGTGTCGCTTAAGCCCTCAAACCGACATGTCAGCCGACATTTAAAACCTTGTGCGATGGAGTCACTAAGTGGAGCTCTGGTATGTTATTGAATCTTGAAAGTTTTGAATGTAGAGATGATGTTCCTTATTCAAGTTGACATACAAAAGCTAGAAACAAACTAATATGGACACAAACATGTTATTTTTCAAATTTGTATCCATTTTGTCACTGCAAAGGACATCTAAAATATGGATCAAATAAAGATATATGCTTCATTGGTTTTTTACGATATAATATGTATATATTATGTTCTTCCCGGCTACATGAACTGGTGCCTAGTGTATACAAATTTGTTGTGGTTATTATATGTTGATTAAAATTTTCAAAACAATACATTCATGCTTGAAATTTTTTTTATATGGAGACAATGGTAGTTTGTAAACTAATGAGTTTATAATCGTACATATCTTTAGCTTAAGAAATTGAATTTGGTGTGTCACATGTTAAATTCACATTTTTTTACTCTTGCTTTTTTTTTTCTAAATTATCAAGATGTGGGTCCAGGTCCGCAACGCCATGTGTGGAGGGTTTTCCATTAACTTCATAGGCTTCGTATTGCGTGGTATAACTCTATTTTTTATTAGATTTCTTTAGTTTTGTTTATTAATGGTAGATCATAGGAAGGTGCATAATTCATGTGCCAGAAAGAACTTAATTAGTTAATATTAATTCAATACTTCTTGAAATCTAGTTTATGTTTTATTTGTATCTTGATTTGATTGATTACGATACAACGCTCTAAATATATACGCATAATTCCCAGCTTTTTGGTATTTAGACATGATAGTATATTTTAATAAAAGGAATTTCCCCTTCTTTTTTGTTTGTGTCTATGTCTATACACACGCATACATACATAAAAAAACTATAAAATGTTTGTGTTCCCTCTAATCAAAGATCAATAGAACTTGTGGAAATGCATAATTCATCATGTACCTACATAAAAAATCAGTGTACAATAAGGATGCGGATATGGATGTGAATACAAGACATATATAAAAAAACCAAATAAAATTAGCCTCAAATCCCATAATGCAAGGAATGTAGAATGTTCACAAAAGAAATATTGGATTCTTTGATTCATGTGCATTATTTTGATTCTACAAAAAACTGTTCTTATATCTGTCATGTCGCAAGAGCTCATCTAACTCATATAGCAGAGAACGAGTAAGTTTTGATTCTTATCAGCCTACCCTTTATTAAAAAAAGGTGATGTTGCAAAGACGCTAGAAATAACATTTGTTTATTGAATTTATCTGTGTCCATCGATCACGGAGATCCGTTTGCAGTAATGATGTCATGTATTCTATTGGAGTATCTGCTAAGAGTCTGATCGAGAGATTAGTTTCGAATATTTATGTTTAATTTTGAGAAATGCAGGTTGTTTTTAGATTTCTCTAATTTAGAGATTTCATTATTTTTAATGCTCTCTAATTTTCAAGTAGGGACGGGCCTGCTGTTCTGCCTCCTCCCAGACGATTTTCCACATT